AAGCCTGCCCAGCCTTCGCCGCCTCTAACGACTGGTGAGCATTACCTACAAAAGAACCTGACGGTTGGATGTGGCCAGACCGTTTAGATAAAGCACGTGTCTGCAGACATGTTAAACTCCCTCGTCCGTGGCAAAGAACATCCCCGTTCAAACCAGTGGACACACGTGAAGGTGTGGGGTGGAACAGCTTTCCTTCTGCTTTGGCCAGTGGCCACACGGCACCGGTGGCATCACTTCAGCCACCTGTGCTAGTGAGAGACAAGTAGGGGGGCCAAGCTGCATGCTGACTCAGGGTGACGCACTCGCTTCCTCCCCTGGGCCACTGAAGCCAACTGCAGTGGAGGTCTGAGCAGCCACGGCTGGCACTGCCGAGGAGTGGACAGCCACGTCGACAAACAAGTAACAATGAGCAGCTCTATACTCCTCCTGTCCGGAGGTGTCAACAGTTACAAGTGAGCTCCCAGGCAAAACTGACGGGGACGTATTTCCTGGGCTCAAGCTACAGTTCCAGCGACATTTCTCAGACCTCAATGTAACTGCACGACCAAGGAGCTTCCATCCCACCTTCGCTGGGCACTCAATCTGCAGGGGGCATGTTAAGGACACGTGTCAGAGAAGAATCCACTAGGCCTCCACAGACGCCTTCTAAGCCCTGAATGCGCTCGATGAAAACCATCTGCTAACGGGTGAATGTTAGTACTGGGCAGTACCTAACTGCGAGAAAAGACATGTTCAAAGTGAAACGCATAAATCCTTCTGACGTGCCAGCCTTAATAAACACTTGCAATCGATTTTGATAAAAAGAACCTTCCATTTGAACCCAGATTTAGTGAAGTTATGTCACCCTCACAAAACAGAATTCTTCTTAGACTTATATTACAAAAAGTTGTACTCAATTTTGAGTTTTGCTAATAAAATTTTTGTGAAAATGGTTTTTTCCCTCATTAAGTACTTATATTATCTTGATTTTGCCTCCTGGCCCACAAGGCCTAAAATATTTACTGATTCACTATAGAAAATTTCACAGACTCCTGAAATAGACTATTAAAAATTGAAGTATTCTAATGCTCTATTGATATGAAAATATGGAAATGTGACATATTTTTTAAAAGCAAATTTTAAGACGAGATATCATCCTGCATATGCAATAACATCCCCTTAAAACGTCTACTTGCACTTTGTACACACACACACGTCTGGAAGGACACACACTGAACTGTTACAGTGACTTTCTGGCAGACACTCTAACCAGTATGTTCTCCACAAAGCAACCAGGTTTACACTTAAAGCATAAATCAGACAGGGTTTCTCCCATTTAAAACCCCCAATGGCTTCTCTGATCACACTTGAAAACAAAACGAAACCGCTCTGAGTCTCGTCGGGACTGGAGGCCGTGAGGGTCTGGTTTCTGGCTGCTTTGAGCGGTTTCCTGCCAGGCGTCCTTCAGCCCAGCGAGTCGGTGCTGCGTTGGCCTCTGTCATTCCTGCCGGCATCTCTACCTCAGGACACTTGTACCTGCTGTTTCCTCGGGCTGAGCCGTGATTCCAGCAGGCTCAAGGCTGCCGCCCGCCTCTGCACACCTGGCCCGCGGGCTAACGTCGCCTTCCCCAGCTGCGTCTCTGTGGTTTTGTCACACACACGGCTCGCTACCTGACACCGTGCTAACATTCCTTTGCTGTGTCCTCCTCACTCGAACATACTCCGTGGCGGGCTGGGGTGGGGGCTTGCTGTCCCCTCTGCCATCTCTCTGGAAACCAGGAGAGAGCCTGGGCACAACAGGTGGTTGTGAAATGAACTAACAAAATAAGGAAAGGAGGTAAGTGAGCAGAGTGGGGCGGTAAAATTTTGCTTTTTAGCAATTTTTGTTACATAAGCACATATTTGTGTATTCTTTATGGAGAATAAAAGTTTAAAAAGAAAAAATTATCGGTTAATATGATTTCGAAATTATTTTAAAACAGTGGAACCCCCCTTTGCTCCTGTTCTGTTGATGTCTGTGACCGGATCTCTCTGCACCCCGTGCGTGCAGGTTCCTGCACGTCGCTATCGTAGACACTGACAGGCACCAAGTAAAAGCGAACTGGAAACAGACATTGAGAAAAAGACTTTTATTTCAACACAAAAGGTCTGGAGAGGCACAGCCTGACGTCCAGTGTTCACTGCCCCGCATCCCAGCATTTACAGAACGTCTACCGTCGCGGCAGGCCACGTGCCTCGGTGTGGGGATCCCCAGGGGGAGGTGGGCTGACAAGGGACAGTGAAAGCAGCAGGGGGCTCGATTTTATCATCACAAAACAAAGGGGCTCGACAGAGAGCAGACGGTGACTGTCTCCGCTGTCCTAAAATGCAATGCTCTTCTGTCTCTGTGGAAAGACGTCAAAGGTGACCCCGGAAGATGCCCTGATGTTTCCACTGGAGTCAAATTCAGTTATACCAGGGCCCGTCCGCCCTGAAGCTCCTACAAGGCTCGGCGCTGGCCCCTCCCCCTCAGGGGACGTGGGCACTGGGAGAGTCCTGGACGGGCCGCACACCTGCTCCAAGGATAATTGCACTGCTGGTTCACAGTGTGCACCGCATGGTCTGAAACCAGCGTTTTTCAACTTATTTCATATTTGCGCATCATTAAATGTTAAGAGTACACAAGATAAAAAGGGAGATTTTAAGCTTTGAGAACAGGAAATTCTTAACTACCAAAACATCTACACATCTACTGTTTCAAATGAACTTTAGAGTTGTCACTTTAAAATATTTTGAAAACACGAACTAAGCAGAATGGAATATAAAATGAAGTTTCCTGTCAAACTTTATGTATTTTCAGAAAGCTAAGATACAAAAATTAGGTTAAAACATACAAAATTCATTCTTTTTGTTAAATGGTTTGGGGGCATTTATATCTAAGGAAAAGGTAAGTAATACATCTATGATTAATTTTAACCCCGATAACTTTTCTTCCGGAAAAGGGCAGTTAAAACCACTCAAAGAGTAGAGAAATAATGAAGAATAAACTTGATCTTATTGAAAGTTAGCCCAATCTTTACCCATTTAGATAAAGATAGTCAAAGTTCAAGATTTCTGTACTTTGATCGCTGAAACCTATTTGTGCTTAAAATCAGAAAGTGCAAAACATTTTCTATTTTTGCTTCTTTTATAATTACATAATTCATTAATAATGACTACAATTTAATTACGGATTAGAAAAATTCTATTTAAATAATATACTTAAAGCAAAATAAATAAATCGAACAAGGCCAGTTATAATGAACTACTTACCTACGGAAAAATGTTAACTATTTCTTTAAAGCTAACACTACTCACAGTTTCTTCAAAATAAATATTGATAACATATTTCCACGTTTACTCTTTCATACTTTCCCTTTTCTTTAAAAATTCAATGGCTTATATCACCTTAATCTCCCTCGTGAAACCCACAGCCTCACTGTTAGGAACTGCAGTTTTTAGAAGTCCTGCTGGCACAGCAGTCACGCTGTGAGAAGCTGCCCTGACACACGGACGCGTTCGGCCGGCAGATCGTTCACGCTGCCTGTCACGTTTTCTTTTCGCCTGAAGAAAGTACAGAAACTTTCTTGGAGAAACGCAGATCTGACCAATGAGGCTATAAATTCCTCTGGGTGGTAATAAGCCAGGTGTCCCTAAAGAATTTATCATTGAGTATTAGGCACACGATCTTTAAAATTTTAAAAAGGGGAAAAAAAATGTTTTAATTATGGAAAAGCGATGAACGTAAGAGACGCCTGCGCTAGTGCACGTCGCTGCAGCAGACCCCTGCAGGGGACTCAGAGACTCAGACTGTCACGGCGCTCTGAGTGCCCCCGCCTCCTATGGAGTGCGACACAGGACAGCCACCTATGCAACTTAGCTTATGATCACTGCGACATTCACCTGCAGAGGGGCTCGACACGCTCCAAGCGGCATCTTCCCTCTGCACGGCCTCCAGGCCGACCGGCTCCTCCGTGTCTCCACGGCTCCCTCCTGCGGGCGGGTCGTCAGCCCGGCCCCCTGGGGCTCCGCGGGCTCTCCACGCCGGCTCGGTGGCCCCGGGAGGGGAGCTGCGCCCGGCAGGGCCCACGCCTTCTCCATCCTGACACCCGGGGGCCTCTGCAGGCGCCACGCGCCCTGCGGCCGAGCCCGCCACGTCACCTCTCCATCTCTGAAAAGCAGAGTTGGCCTTGGCAGTCCAATTGGTCACGTCACCTGCCCTGGGGTCTCCGCCAATGCAGGACAGGTCGCACATCGCCAAGACGCCTGCTCTCCTTCTCTTAGAGAGATGGGCTCTGCGGCCGGGCGGAGCAGGGCCCGGGGACGGCGGGCGCCCCGGACGGGTCTCTGCGCCCCTCTCCTCCAGGTTATCGGGCGAAAAATAGTCGTCATACGAGGACTCGTAGGAGGACGCCCCGCCGCCAGGCGTGTGCAGGGCGGGTGCGGCCGCGCTGCCCCCCGACGCCTGCAGCCACAGGTCCCGCGCGGGGCGCCTGCTGCTCTTCCTCTTGCCCGGTCTCTCCTGCCCAGGTGGGTCTAAGAGCTCTGGCGCTCTTTTCCTCTTTGCTGAGGAGCTCCTGGGCCGTGACTGTCCCGCACGGTGGCCTCTGGCTGCAGGGAACACAGGACACGAGCTGTCCTTCTTCTCATCGGACGTTTCCTCAGACACTCCCCGTGACAGCTTCTGGCCAGAAGGGACGGTGGTGACGGCGCCACTCACAGGACCTCGCTGCCCATGTACCTCTCCCTTCGAAGGGTCACTCACAGACTCCGGCGCAGGCAGGGGACAGAGGTGCCCGGGAGAGGGCCACGGGCAGGCGCCACTGGCTCTAGGCACAGGCCAGGAACCACGTGCATCACTTGTGACTGTGGGGGCAAATCCTCCCAGTCCCCTCTCCTGACTCCCACATCCCGAGTTCCCACAAAGGTCATCAAAGGATAAATGCCGGCCGCCAGCAAGAGACTCATCTGGAAAATATTAATGAAGAATAAATTTTTAAAAACGGTTTCAATTTTAAAAGTAGTTTTCAGTTGACTACTGAATGAGGCAATGCCTTTTAAGCACTGTTATTAGTAAAGAAGAGCTACTCCCGTTTTGTCGATGACATCTGAGTATGGCACGGGCCCCGTTCGTTACGCAGGCCGTGAGGCAGATCTTCCTTAGCGCTCCTGCTCTGTACTGCGGGGTAAACCACGCGGGCTAGTTCGCTTAGATCACGAGAATTAAAAAAAAACAATCACAACTGACTCTGTGCCAAGAAAGCAAATGCATCGGAGAAAAATCACAGGAACCAAAAAGGAGGTTTAACACGTATAATTTCTCATGTCTTAATTTTATTATAATACCTTTTTTTTATTCAATACCTAATTTCAGGGTGAAATCATTAATCCTAGTTTTTAACTAACTCATTGTCAAAATGCCAAAGAAGAAATCATAATATTCTCAATGCTTAAATACAGCACAAAAATTAATTTTACCTGAACGTAAAGTATCATGTGAAATGTTCAAAGATGCTTCGCAGGAAGAGTTAACTGGGTCATCATAAGACTTTTCAATCATTTGGGAAGCTGAAAACAAAACATTTCATCAGATGCTACACTGATACGTTTTAGATTAAGCCAATGGAAAGCCCACTCCCTTTACTCTTATATATCATACATGTGTACACGCGCGCCTTATACTTCATATTCCAGACCTACCACCAAACAGTAAGCACAAAAGCTCTTACTGAAACCTATTACAAATGAGAATTGCAAAAAATTATCTACATAAATCAGGGTATAAAAAAGGAGTAAATCACAGGATAATTAAAGTTAGAAAGGATTGTGAAAAGCCATCTTGCATGGAACCAGCAGAAGCTCAACAAAGATAAACAAACACTGTCTGTTAGTTGATAGTCAAGGCTTTTCCCCAAAGACAATGCCACCAGAGTCACTCTGTAAGCAGAGCAGTGGCCTCAACCAGGGGTGATCTGGGGTCCCAGCAGACATTGCCCAACGTCACGTGTCAGGGACTGGGGTGGGGATGTGAGCTATGTTGCTGTCTGGCATCTAGTGCGTAGAGGCCAGAGATGCTGCAAAACATCTGCCAGTCGCAGGACAGCGCGCCAGCAAGGAACTTCCCAGCACGAAATGTCACCAGTGCCGACGTCGAGAAAGCCAGTTTTCACAGGGGGTCAGAGGTTTCACAAAAAAGGTCCAAAGCGTCATCTTCAAAGGCTGTGCACACAACAGACCAGAAACAAGAGTTGTCTCGTATCCAAAGATGTTTTTCAAAGAGAATCAAAAAGATGTTTTCCTGAGAAAACTTAAGTCAAGAATTAGAAAATAAGAATAAACCAAAATGAGGAAGACAAGACAGAATATAAAATTTTCTGCTGTTGAATTTTAAACTGTGCTGGATGCAGTTAAGTGGCGCAATTAACACTGCAAAGCAATAAAGTCACAGGCAAACGCAGGCACATCCATAACTCCATACTGAAGCCTGGGAACGATATTCTTCTGGAGCTCTGCTAGTGGGGTGCCTCCTACCGGAACCCTCGCGTTATTAGGGCGACGCGCCCCAAGAGGGCCGTCTGGTCTCGCCTGCCGCCTCCTGTAGCCACTTGTACTCTGCTCCCTTCTTCCTTGGCTGGAACTTCGGCAGTCCCCCTCAGCCACGTCATCGTGGACGCCTGTGCTCATCACGCGAACCAAACGAGATGGACAAACGCAAACACGGCCGGCTGCATTACGCGTCCTGGCCCACCAACGTCGTTTTCGCCCTTGGAGCTCTGTGGCCACGAGCCCTGAGCTCACGTTGCATCTGGCTCATGACCGGGAACAGCCAGGGGACTGAGCCCTGACCAGTGGCCCTCGGCAGCGGCCTGGACCGACCCTGGGTCGGGCTGTTCCCAGGCAGCTGGCTCATTTCCACACTGAAGCCAAGCACCAAGGTGGGCAGAGCAGAGAGGTGGGGCCGACAGTGTGGACAACGCCACGGGCCGGCCATCCTGCTGCCCACCTCTGACCCGTCCTGATGGAGAAAGGCACTGTGTCTGATTGAAGCCACTGGTTCTGTGTTTATGTTCTACACAGCCAAACTAACCTCAACTGATAGAGATGCCACAGCGTATCACACACAAATATGAATTCGAGATAGATAAAATCTAACCTTAAAAAAACAAACCGTAAAAGTACTGGACGAAAACGCAGAACAGTTTTGAAACCCTGTGGCGGAGGAGTTCTGAGCAAGCATCACAGGAATTCCAAGTGCCGGAGGAAAGATGCACAGATCTGTCTACACTAAGTGTAACACTTGTGTTTCGCAGAAGGCGCTGCATGTTAAGTGCCAAACAGCAGATTCTGTGTACAATGTTCAACAGTATGCTCACTGAGTACCTGCTACATAAGCGCCCTGGGCTGCACGCTAGTAAGCTGGGGGAAATGTGCGCAACATGCAACGAGTGCCAGTGTGAAAAAAGCACAAAAAGCTCTTATAAATCTCAAAGGAAAAAATATAAGATGGATTTGGACACAGACTCGGAACAGGCAGAGGTAACACATGAAGCCCAGGCCTGAATGCCACCGTCAGGGCCAGTCCCGGTCAAGAATGCGGGAAGGTGCTCAAGCTCACGAGCAAACTCATGAGCGACCTGAGAAGCAAACGACACAAAGAATGCCGTCTTTCACCTCAGACCGAAAAGATGTCGAGACTAACGCAGTCCGGTTTTCCAGGCGTGGAGACACCGGCACTTTCATAAACGACCGGCAAAGGGTAAAACGGCACAAACGCTTTTTAAAGGGCAATCTGATAGTAGCTATCAAAAATTAAAAATTCTGCCTCTACAAATTAATATTATTGAAATACATGAAATACACAGGAACGTAAAGATTTATGTAGAAGCACGTCCACTAGTGTATTACAGTAAAATGTGGGGGGGCGAGGGGGGAGCTGTAAGTCCACAGATAGAAAACGGTTAAATAAAAAAACAAGAAAAACCATACCATGTAGTTTAAAGAGTGAAAACTGCAGCATTATTTCTAATAAAGGAAAATTAGAAAAATATGCACCAACAGATGGATTCCACATCAGAACTACAGACTACTTTGCGGCATCTTAAAAAAAAAAGGAAAAGGAAAATAAAAAAGGCTTAGGTCCACACCTACTGACCTGAAAAAAAACCCTCCAAGACACTTTAAAGAAAAATATTTGAATAGTATGCCATGATCCAATTTAGGTAATAAAAAATTATACCTCTACACAGAAAGATGCAGATGCCTGTATCTTTTTCAGGTATGCATAGGTATTTGATGCACTAGAAACATCTGGAAAAACACATTAACTTAAAATGTGGATCATCTAGGGGCAGAGAAACCCAGATGGACTGTCACCATGAACCATACACTGGGTAGATAATTCAAGAAAAAGTATTATGTAAATTAAAAATTTTGAAAATAGAAGAACTGATGCATTAGGTACCTAAGCTAAAGCAAATTCTTTCAAAAGAGGGGGCCTGATCATTTAATTTTTAATTTAAAAATCCCAAAGGTATTAAAAATTACAAAGTAACTACAGTGAATGGTCTTAGCTCAACCTGGGGAACACTATGCACGCAATAAGTGCTTAAAGATACTAATGCAGCTTAAGTTTCTGAAAGAAAATAGTAGCAAAGTCTACCCTGAAACAGGTTAAAAACTCTTAGAATCAGGACAGATAAACTAAAACATCTAGGTAAGAGGAAAAGGAACCTTCCCACGGATCACTTGCAGAATGTTCATCTCATGAAGTGCAAGCGCTTACAGGTAGGGGAGAGATTTTCCCTTTTCTGCTTCATCTCCTGCAATCTCTTTTCCATTGCGCTGTGATGGCCGCTGTACATTTTAATTGTGGGACTGTACATCAGTGAACCGTCGGAATCAAATAAGAGAGCAGGTCTGTCATCATCTGAAAATAAACAAAAATCCGATTTTAAGCTCAAAAAAATGCCTTCCTACTTCAACAACGTGATCCCTCTTAAGGACCCCTCCAGCCCCCCAGTTCTCTTCCCTTCCAACATCGCCACCTGCTACTGGCAACGTGCTATCGGCATCAGCACCACCGCCACCTCCACCATCAACACCTCGCCACCACAGCTGCTGGCCAACACTGGCTAAGCGATGGCCCTGTGCCAGGCCTGTGCCAAGCACAACACGTGCATTACCCACTCGACCTCTCCCAAACCCAACGCGGCAGGCGTCCACGCCCCATTTAAAGACGAGGAAGCAGACGCAGAAGTACCATGCTCACCAAGGACCACGTGACCAGTGAGAAGGTAAAGTCCTAGGCCAGAACCACTGCGGCCCCCTCAGCTACGTCGCCCTGGACGCCACTGGTCATCAGGCAAACCAAACCAGATGCATGAACACAATGCAAAGGATCGTGCTATTAACTCTTTGCTTACCGAGAGTTGTTTTCTGCCTCTGTAGCTCGTTAGCCATTTTCTCAAATTTCTTTTGAAGTCTCTTATCATTTTCTGGTGTTTTAGGAATAAAATCTTTGGGCTGCATACACTTATGCTGTGCAAAAAAAGAACATAAACACAATGCGGTACTGCGATTGTGCAAGATGGGTACTAACCTGCTGGGTACACTTTAGCTATCTTCTATAACATTAATAATAAAACCTCCTTAAAAAGGTATTTTTTGCACTATGTGAATTGATAATATTTACTTCTTTTTATGCAATTGTAAAAATTATGGACAGAATTTTCAGACTGAATAAAGGGTCAACAGTACAAGTAGCTGTGTTTTCTGGGCATGTTCCGTATCCCAGCATTCTTAATTTCCATGGAAGTTCTTAAATAAAATTAGTCTCTCTTTTCTCATTTTTACTACTCTCACATTATCTGCCCAACCCATGAAAATCATGACATGGTAATAAAACACAAAAGCAATTACTTTATAACTACCAAAAGAAAAAAAAAACACACATTATTATTTAATCTTGCCTTACTGTCTTTAAGTCACAGTAACTGCATTCAGCCAGTAAAAACCAAAAACTTTAGCTATACACACAAAGTGAGGAAACGTCAAACACGAAGCCCCAGGCTAACGCCCTCAAGAAAGCCGGGTGACCTTCCTCCTCTGACCATCAGGGGAACGCGATGGTCCCGAGGCGCCTTCCGCTCACAGCGCCCCCACTCTCTCCTGCTGCAGCACTGCTTGGCGCCGCCACCCCACAAACACAGAAACGCAGTGTCACCGCCTTCACCCACCTGCACACCTGAGTGCACTCCCAGAGCCTAGAGAGATGTCTGCGTCAAGGCCTCTCTCGGGATTTGGGCTGACGCTGTCAGCCCACGTGTGTCTACCTGGGCAGCAGCCCAAACACCTCTGCCCCCATCTTAAGGGAATCAACGCTTATACCAGGTAGCTCTCGGGTTAGTATCTGGCTCCTTCAGTGAGCCGCTCATCTCATGAGTTCATAAAACCTTGTGTGTCAGGCACAGGTCTCAAAACAAAGACCCGAGCAATCACAGAGCGCAGACTGTTAGGGGACGATAGGAATAAACGTGAAGAATGAGGGAATTACACTGCACGATGGGACGGTTAGTTCCGGGAGACAGGGAACCGCCCGCATGCCTGCACCGCACACAGTGTGCTGATTAAACCAACGGTACTGCTTTACGGCCGCAGGTCTGTGGAGCTGGGGACTTAGAACACCCAAAGCATGACACACATGCACTGATCATGAGATCCGTAAGGAACCAAGTTAAACTGAAAACTGCTTATTTTGTGAAGAGGGAAATTGAGACATGTTTGCTTCATATTTTACAATGTGTTTGCTAAATGTCTTACAATGAAAATACATATGCTTATATTTTTGATGTTTTTAAAAGAAACATTTTATTTTTAAAATGACAAACACAGCTACTGCTTAGCATGTCAGAGGAGAGTAAACAGACTGCTGAGCGCTCGACGTCACCCAGAAGTGGAGACCATCTGGACGGGGTTCAGCCGCCACAGCACCGGCTTGTCTGAGACCAAATGTCGTCAGGTAGCTGATTTCCAGTGGCAGAAAACCTGGCGACACCCACAGGGAGCTATAGTTCCGGCATCTAATGGCCCTGGAGAGAGTCTCTGAGTCTTCTGAGGAGTCTCATGTGGAAGTGTGAGTTGGATGTTTCACAGTAAACTACTTTACTCTCCGATAATGAAACCACAATTAAGTCTCTGAATAAAAACCTAAAAATGCTGTAGCCCAAATGTGAATTAGACTACTCGAATGAAAGCAGTGTCCTTTTATGCACTGCAGATTTTTTGTAATAAGTGACTTTCCACACTTGGATATCTGTGCTGCAGATTTCAAGACTTTGCAGCTGAAGCGAACACAGGCACTGTCCCGCAGACCGACAAAGTGCATTCGGCAGTAATTACACGTGCACCTGAACGTCTGCTAGTCTCGGCAACTTTTAGTTTTCTCTTGGCCAACTATAGCCTCTTTCGTGTCTTGCAAATTACATCGAAGCATTCATAGGGTTAAAATAATCTCTAAGCAAAAAATGCTGTGTGAAAAGAACAATACCATCAATAGCAATACTAAAGACAACTGTTAACTATATTGCTAAGTTTTAGTTCCTAGGAATGAAAAAAAGAATGAATGACTTCACACCCGCCACTGAATACGCTGCAGTGGCACGTACCTTTTTCTTGCTCAGGTATGGCAAGCATGCAGGAGTGTTAGCTGCAGGAAACAGGGCCTCGTCGACGTGCACTCCAGCCGTCCTGCACCTGCGTTAAGAGGATCCGATGAGCATTTGTTTCTGTCACATTCACAAAGCATTAATCTGCCCATTTGTCCATTAGCAATTTAAGAAATCCATGCACAGGCCATTTTAACAAACATGTCTTTCAAAATAAGTATGCACGATACCAAATACCAAAGTCAACATAAATTCAACATTCCAAAATCTTGTCTATATGGTGTTTTTTTTCAGAGTAGAAGTGAGAGGCAAAAGAAGTACACTTCTCTGCAACAATTTTAGATTTGTAGCACACTTCAGAATGGTACTCATAAAGGTATAAGCGCACATACCATTAAACACATAACTTAAGGGTAAACCAGCTATATATAAAATGAGTAATTTACAGCTAGAAGTGTCCTAAGGAAATTGAGGCCAGAAAGCTTATCTTTCCTCCAAAACTAGGTTCTCCTTTTTGTATGTTTCTACCAAGATGCCAGCATCGCCCCCAGAGAGCCAGGTCTGCACCCCAGCTACCCCCCGCAGTGCCTCCTCCCTCCATGCCCAGCCTGTCACCACCCCCGTCACTGCCCTCTCGTCTCGGAGACCCCCGGACCAGGACCTGCTGCTAAACATTCAGTCGCTCAAATCTAAACGACGACGATGAGTTTCTAAGCGATCTCCTTCTCTCTAGTCTCTCTTCTAATTCATTCACGCGTATTGCTGAAATAGAAATGTTAAAACATCGTACTCATCCCTCCCCAACGGAGATCGAAGCCCTACCACCCTCCCATGTTCCCAGAATCTCACTCATGTCTTTCTGAAATACAGCCGCTAACCACATCTGTTTTTCATAAGACTGTCACCGATCAACACCCAGTATGAAAACGATAGCTGAAAATCTAACTAAAATACAGTAAAAACAGAATGGGGCAGATACGTCAAACTCACACAGAGCGCTCTAAAGCAGAGGCGGAGCAGAAAGGAGCTGTGAGGAACGGCGGGCACGGCACGGTGGGCACGGCACGGCGTACACGGGGTGGCACAGGACTTGCCGTTTTAGAAGAAGCTGGACGGTCACACACCTGCCCGACAGCAGGCTCATGGCCAGGCAGGGAAAGGGATCCCAGGCGGGGCCCAGGACCCTCGGAGGGACCGTGCGGTCGGAGCCACAGTATCGTAACGGGAAGACACCATCTGCTTTCCATTCTCATCCGCCCGAGCACGCCGCAGCGTCACAGGGAAAGGGCGTGGGCTGTCCCGCACTGACCGCAGCGATGGGACTGCGACCGCCTCCTCCACCCAGACGTGATGCGGCACTGTCCACAGGGCTGGGGCACGGAGACCCCCCGAGTATCCGTCCGCGACTAAACAGACAAAGACGTTTTGGCATACATACAGTGGAGTATCATTCGGCCATAAAAACCCGGAACGCTGCCGTCTGCGAGCGTAGGGGTGGGCCCGAGGGCGTCACGCTAAGTGGCGGAAGCCAGGCAGAGAAAGGTGAACGCGCAGCCGCCGCCCTGGGTCGCAGTTATCACGGGGCCAGTCCCTTTGTCCAGCATCTCCATGCCCATGTCACCCAGCGCCATAGCACTGACCACAACTGCCGCGGAGTCGCAGGCCTTGGGCCCATGTCCTCCTTAGTGGACTCGACAGCAGCCCCAAGCGCAAGGGCAGTGATGCTGGCCACTCGGGCACGCCACAGAGAAGCCGAAAGCGCGCTCTGTAGGTGAAAAGGCCCAAGTTCTCGACTTCGTAAGAAACATAACCACACGCCGAGGCGACTCAGGCAGAGCAAGAACGAATCTTCTCCCTGCGAAGTCGTGAGCACGAAAGCGTCCGTGCTGGTTTCGCAATCACACCTCGAGCTGCAGAAGTGACAGCCGCGCTGCACGTGAGCGCTCTGGAGGACAACGAACGTGCGAGGGACACACGGAGCCACGCTCCAGGGCACGACACGCGCTGTGTCAGGACGCACGAGAACACGCGAGGACTTGGCAGGGACCCCGAGACGAGCGGCCGCGTCCCCACCACCTCCGTCGCAGCACTGTTAGGACTGCTGTTTATGACTGGTCTGGATGCTGGTCTCACTGCGCCCAGCTCACAAATGAAACCCCCTCGCTATGTGTACAGGGGAACCACAGTGCATACGGGGTTCACTGCCCTCCGCGGACCTCGGACTGTCTCCCCACGGATGCGGGGGACTGCTGCACCGTGTGACCTCTCATACGGGGAATCTAAAGTGTGTGTGCCTCTCTTTGCAGTAACAGGAAACTAAGAATCCTGACTCGATGGCACCATAAACCATGATAGAAAGCGAAGTTCGGAAGCTGAAATGACAGCAAGTGCGTTGGGACCTGTTTACACCTGGCGCGGTGACTCCTCCCGGTGAGTTCGTCAGGGGGCAGCCCCACACGCAGGCGTGATGCCGAGGATACGGAGAGATCCCCGTGAAGCGCAGACCCCCACACCGCGGTCCCGCGGGAGCACGTCCCTGCCTGGCTCGAGGCTCCCTCCCGCTCACCAGGTCTCAGCCACTGACACTCAGGGTCCTCAGACGCGAGGCATTCTCCCGTCCAGGACAACGCTCGCTCGTCTCCCGGTTCTCTGAACGACGGGCTCCTGCCCGCCTTTCCCTCCTCAGCTCAGATATCACGACTCCGAGAGGCACTGTAGCTCCCTCCCTGTTCCCTTTTAAAACCTGGTTCCTTCCTTAAAAACTAAGTCCCGTAAAGGCAGGTGATACGCCTGTCCAGGTACCACGCCTGGCAAAGCAAGCACTCAAAAAACGTTTTCTGAACAGGAAAATGTCATTATTGTAGGAAGACAAATGCTTCGACTTCCACTCGTAGACCATACACATGCACACGAAATTGCTCAAATTAAGACACAGAACTAAACATAAAAGCTGAAACCATAAACTCCTACAAGAAATGAAAAAAAAATCACAATTTTAAAGATATTCAGATAGGATATCAAAAACACAAAGCATAAAAGAAGAAAATGAAAAGTGAAAATCAAAAATGTGTACGCTTCGTAAAACGTAAAAAAATCAGACAAGTCCCAGACTCAGAGAAAATATTTATAAGACATACATCTGACCCCCCTAAATTGGTATGCACAACATACGAAAATTGCCTGAAACTCAATAAGACAAAACCCAATTTTTTAAAATGGGAAAAAGATTTACACCAAAGACAATACACGAGGAGTCACTAAGCACATTATCTGAGGCTCCGCACCAGCCGTGGGGAGAGACAGATGAATCCCAACGGGATCGAGCATGTGTGGCGTTTTATTGACAAAGTGACTGGGGAAGAATAACGGCGCTGAGACAACTGGTTTCCACACACCAAAAAAAAAGTGAAATTAAACCCCAACCTCATACCATACAAACACTCACTCAAAACGGACCACAGAGCTCAACTGTAAAATTAGATTAAAATACGGGAGTTAATCTTGTGATCTTAAATTTGGCAATGGTTTAAATGATACCTGTGCGATGGAATACTGTTCCATCAGAAAAAGAGAGGGAATTCTGACACGCATTACAATACACCCAGGCCGTGGAAGCGTCATGTTTAGAGAAAGCGCCAGCTACAACGGCCCCGCGCACGTCGCATGACTCCGCCTCCGTGACATGTCCAGGACCAGCAAACCTAGGGACAGAAGGCGGAGCAGCGGCGGCCTTAGACGCTGGACGGCAGGCACGGAGGGCGATGCAAAGCGTATGGGGCTCTGGCCCGAGGTCGTGAGAACATTTAAATCGCCTGTGGTGATGGCTACGCAGCTCTGGCGTCGCGTAGTCACCACCGGACTGTGCGCTTTACAGGGGTGAACTGCACGGAGCCTGAATTATATCTAAAAAAGCTGGTACCAAAAAATAAACCCGTGAGATACCACCCAAGCTGACGAGCACGGCCAACGTGAGGGAGACTGACAGGCTGCGGCATGGCGAAGACGCGCAGCTAACGGCAGCCTCAGGCCTGGCAGGAACGCAGGTGCACGCATCCACCTGGGGGGGCAACTGGGGTGACAGCCCTGGAGAAACGGAAACACACAGGGGCGCGAACATGACTGCGCACAGCAACCTTACTCGTAATAACCCCGTCTGAGCGTCACCCAAACGTGCGCCAACAGGGGACTGGGTAAACGGACTCGGTACAGCCACACAGCAGCGCATTACTCAGCTTTAACACGCACACACGTGTGTGTGTCAGCATGGCTCAACCTGGAAAACATCACGCCGAACACGAGAAGCCAGGCACGAAGAGCACCCAGAAGACTCTGTGGACGCGCGATCCCAGGACAGGCAAAGCTAATCCGGAGACAGGCGAGCGGCTGCCTCGTGGGGCGGAGGCAGGAGCTGCCTGCACAGGGACTCCGGGGCACATTCTGGAGTGATGAAGACGCTCTATATTTTGATTGTGGTGGTGACACGATTTGCACATTAGTCAAAACTCAGTGAACTGTACACTGAAAATGGGCACATGTGACTTTATATAATTACATTTTTATAAAGTTGGTTTGTCACCCAGGCCTGTAAAAAGCCTGTGGTTCAGGGGTGGGTAGGATACCAGGTCTGTGAAAGAGGTGAGGGACAGGAAGGATGACGAGAACACGGAGAGAAATGTTTCTCAAGAATGCCTCTCTTTGCAAAAGCTTCTTTACCAATTTTCACTTTGAGCAGAGCTCACCAGCTTCTCTTTATCCAAGCCGGCAGGGAAGGCACCTTTGAAAAGGGCTCTTCGGGTCTCGGCCGTTCCGTGACACCAGGTCCATTCCGTGTCTTACCTAAGAAGCCCTCTTTGACCTCTGTCACCTTCACCCACGGCCTCTTCAAAGGTAGCAGAGAGAGGTGACCCTCCAATGGGGGAGTCCCTTCAGCGAAGAAACAGAAGGTGACATCGCGGAGGGCTCCCTGGGTGACGCTGACTCGCCTGGCACGGCGAGGCCCCCAGCACGAGGTCGTGGGTGGGGTCACCATGGGCACAGAGCGACTGTGGAGCAGGGGCCTCACTGTCCGGGCTCAAATCCCTTCGCTCT